TCCATGCAACGGGAACAAAATTCTGTTTTCATTGAAAACGCCGAAACGGATAGGACAGTGAGTTTTCACGGTACCCCCAAGGAGCTCAATTTTTTTTCTCTTTTTGATATTATCAGAATCTTTGAGTTAAATGTTATTGTGTAAAGAGTAAAATGTAAAAGAAAATCTTACTCAGATAGATATTATTTTCTATTTACAATTGAGTTTCACTTTATTTAATGCGTACCAGACGAAAAATAGTTATAAATTTGAAAACGGTTTGCTAAGTCTTTCAGTAATTAAGGTTTTGATGATCGCGTTCGTACTGCTTATTGGTGGAACCGTCGCTATTCCATTCGACATCGCGCTCTTGCGCGTTACGTGACAAACTTTTAAAAGGTCTGCAGGTGTGCTTCCTGCCGGGGTTAATTCCGGTAAGTGTTTCCACCGAAACGCCCGGTGGCTCGGTATCGATTTCGGGCAAGTCGGCCGGCAAATCGCCGAATTAGTCGGCTATCGTTTATTTTTTCGACGTGGCTCTCTCGCGATCGCGTGACAGGCGAGTAATGCGCGCGGGCTCGCCCCGACAATGGGTCCATAATAATATAATAGATCGCCGTGTAGTTTCGCCGGCGTTTTGGCACACGAAAACCGATAAAAAGCGAGACTCGAAACGGAAATGACTTTTAGTGCTACGCTGAAATTAGATTATCATCGAACGAGGAGACATTACGGCTAAGGGAATATGAATGCCAGTTTCAACGTTGCTAACGCATCACGAGAAGAAAATATCGTGAAATATTGGATATTAATTTAAGCTCCTTTAATTTTAACACGACGTGATAACACAGTTTCAAAAAAATGATATCTTGTCTAGATCAATCATCAATAAGGCAAAAGGTCGGTGGTCAATTACGCGAATCTGTCAGCTATATTGTTATTACCTTAACTGTTCCTCTTTTCAGATTTTTGACATTTTTTATTTTGATTTGCTCGCTAAGCGAACAATTGCCGAGAATATTTAGAATAACGTTGGCCGGATTTTGTTTCGTAAAATCTACATAACAGATATCTCACGAGAGAGATGCTCTTTGACGATCGTGATGTACGATCGTGCAAGGAAGTGCAGGATTCCGGAATGAAATTTTTATTGTCGCGATAAAAGTGGAAAAGAGGCAGAGGGCCCATGAAGCTATACGTAAATGTGGGGGACCTCGCCGAGGTCGGGGCATCGGCAGTCGGGGCGCGCAGTCGAAGAATCGAAGCTACAAAACGGTTAGTAATTTACGAGCGAGCCCGCGCTCGTAAATCTAACCGAGTGAAGTTGCATTACCCAATTCCATTTATCTCTTTGAAAAGATGCGGCTTCCCGTATAATTCCCGAGCTTTTATTCCCTTTTACATTTTCTGCAATCTATTTTTCGATTTAGTACGCAAACAAACATTACGCGCGATTTAAAGCTAAACCATTTGCCCATTAATTGATCCGGGGCGAAATATTTTTGTCGCAAGCGTATAAAATAATGTACTTTTAACGAACAACAAACACAGCAGGTACAGGTGTTTAAAACCGTGCGTGTGTGTTACATTCTTTTAAAATCCGCCGTTCCCGTTCCATCGGGCAAAATTGAAATAAAAACAGATCCTATTACAAATTCTACAAAAATGTTGGCTAAAATGTCGCGCGGCAAACATGTAACAGTAATTGTTATTAAAGTTTTATTGTATACCAGTAAACAACTTAAAATCAATAATTTTACAAGCGTATGTGTGTGACGTAAGATTTTCTTCTCTATTACAGACAGTGCGATTAATTTGGAAATATCGAATCACCGATTCAAAATTAATTAATTCGAGTTGTTCGCGATTCAACTTTCGTAACGCCGTGTGCGTAACGCAATTTTGCGTATCCCCAAAAGCGATGATGACGATTACGACACGGTGAGAGCGGCGTTAACTTACGCGTGACTTGCTCGCGCACACGTGTGCGCACCGGATCGAGAAAAGCTCGGAAAACGCGCGGCGCTTTTCCGATGACAATCAGACCGCAGCGACCGCCGACGGAATCCCGTCCGCGTTCCGCCACGCCCAATAAAAACCCCCTCCGCCCTCCCGAGCCCCGTTTTCCACCCCTGCTCATCCCCCGTCCCTTCCGAAACCATCTCGTCGAGCGGCCTAATAAATCCGACAGACGAGATTGGCGTGCGCTATCAATTAAAAATGATGAAACCGAACGGCGCGGCGCGGCGCGCGGCTCGCCGCGACCGGGCGAGCGGATAGAGAGCAAGGGCCCGCTTGCATCGCGAGCAAAGCTGATTCCACAACCGCCTTGTCCGCTCTGGCGTAATAAGCTTAAGCGATTAGGTATACCTTGGGGGCGGCCTGAGACGGTTGCGGTGCCACGGGTTAGCGAGAGACGTGGGGGGTGGTGAAAATAAACGAGAGAACAAGACGCACGCGGACCCGTGTGGACCCGTGTACGTAAAAAACTGGGAAAAAGCGCTCCGCGCGGAAGGAAGAACCGGGACGGTGCGGCGCGGCGCGAGAGAAGACGGGGCGAGAGCGTGTCGGCAGCTCACGGTGGGTTTTAAACGCAATTTAAATTTTTAATTGCGAGTCCGTCGACCCCGAGGTACGACGCCTCCCTCGTCCTCACGCGGCACGCTGACGTTTTGTTCCAGAGCGCAGATCCGTGTTTGCTTAAACATTCCTTTTTTTCCCGAATTTCCTCGACACTGACTGGACGAATATAGTCTCGTACGTATAGTCTCTTGTGCGACGCAAGAAATAAAAAATTCTAAAATATCTCCAAATTTCGTATAAATACTATAAATATATTTTGACACGATTATATATATATTATGTGTGTGTCAATCATTATAACTCAATTTTATGTCGAGGATTGAAGCCTGTTGTTACATTACCCTGACGAGATAAAAATAATACGAGTGTAACACGCATACGTTGTATTTATTCTGGCTTCTTAATAACGCATTTTTTTTTTACATATTTGATTATTTTTTAGTGTAAATATATTTTATAGTTGGAATGATTTTTTGTAAAAACATATATCATTAGCTTTTTTTCTTCAGTGTCTTACATTACAGTACTATACTTATATCTATATTATATTACTAGCACATTCGCGAAATAATTTACAAAATAATTTTATTCTTATATAAACCTACACATTATAATTAGTCACAGGGTAATTTTTCTGTGTACTTAACTTGTACTGCTAATTATCTACCTATCGTCTATTCGACGCAGGAAAGTACAAGAGAGATGATTTATAGGGCAACTTTATTACTGGGGCGACGTGCTTATCTCGCAATATAAACTGCTTGTTAATTGCGACAATAAAGGCTCCAGCTTTCTAAGAGACAGACGGGTCATACCTCGCCTATTTCCATGCCGCCGTTTTACCCTTCTTGATGCCCATCTATAATCCACTTAAGGCACGAAGATAATTCCTACGTTTCTCGCATTGCGTGTTTAATGGTAACTCTAACGAGCCGAATGCCCGCGACACTACGAATTAGCGTGGTCGCCTCGATAAAGCCCTAATTGCAATCGACGCGTAATCTTAACCATCGCCGGCAGGCGAGAGCCCTTCGCGCGGCAATGGAAACTTAAGGCGGGCGCGCTCGGTAAAAATCAATTCCGCGTTCGAGGAGGTAGAAAGAAAAAGCAGGTGCTCGTAAGGCTGCCGGCCGGGTTATTATCCCATGTTGCCGAGAGAGCCCCGCCCAATAGCGTAACAAAGTGGCGATGCTGACGAGGTCTGTATACCGAGATCTCCTACGGGCCCTTTTTCTGACCCTTTTAAGCCTTCATCTCTTGGAGCAGTTTGAGCAAAAAAGGAGTTTGTAAGAAATTTATAAAGGTAACTGTTGTTATCACTCTCCCATATAACAATTTGCAAATGTACTAACCCGGAAATTAATTATTTTGCAGAAAAAATACTTGATTAATCTCCTTGCATATTATTTAATTATTTTTACTTCACAGTGCGCGCGCGAATCCTGCAAGCTTCGTTTTTACAGGCTTAATGGCTGAGAATGGCTATTTAAATTCTTGCGTGAGATTAGAATAAAAGAATAAGCATATAAATAAAGAACTTGAGAATTACATCTTTCGAAATCTTGACGATGGTCCTGTTGAACCACCGGGGACCACGGTAGCTGCGTCACTGGCCCCGGTATACGTGCCGCTCGGCAAGCGTGCCCCCGGGAGCCTAATCGATGCGTCGTCGCACGCGACTGCGTGCTTTTATCGTTGTCACGCACATAATTAATTTAATTTAGTCTAATATGTTGGCCCAGCGCGCCAGGCAGCGATTGTCGTTCCGATTGTTTGCACGGAAACGCCAGCGTTAACCCCGGCCGGTTCGCCGAACACGATATTCGTATCCGTCAAATTTCGGCTGAGGAAGAATAAATCCTGCTATATCGTGTTGCAGGTCGCACGAGTGAATTTATTATGAACCGCCTTTGCAACTAACAATAAGTACAAGAAAAATGTTCGTAGCAACGTACTTTACACGAGATTATTTACGTACCTAATTGTAATAAATTTTCTGATATCTCGATAGTCCTGCCTTACATCAAAATGTGTATATTTCATGCTACATGTTATTGTGCTATGATAGTCGGTGAGGTCCGCCTTCATTTTGAAGAATTATTAAGGTATTTTAGCTGAGAGAGCGAGAGACGATAGGAAATATAGTCATATTAAATATTAAAACTCTAAAAGGGTTTGTTTGTGCGCACCTAGAGACAAGAGAGGCAATTTATAAATCGATTAATGTTCTCAGAGGGATATAAAAGATCCCTCAATGTTTCTTTTTCTACTTCGTAAAAAGAAATATATTTTTCAATCGAGCGTCATTATTTCAAACTTCGAAAGAACCCTTTCTTTACTCTCGGACACGTATACCTAACGCTAGAAGTCGTATACGAAGGAAACGTATTATCTTCCCCCCTCGTCGATCCGGCGAATTCGTTCGGCAAATGACTCACCTGAACACGAACTTCCGGGAGGTTGACCTTCATGGCGAGCTCCTCCCTGGAGTAGACGTCCGGGTAGTGGGACTTCTCGAACGCTCTCTCGAGCTCGTGCAGCTGATAGGTGGTGAAGGTTGTCCGGTTGCGACGGTGCTTCTTCTTGCCCCCGTTGCCGTTTATGTCCTCCCCGCAGCCTGCGCCGAGCTCCTCGTCGCTGCCGCCGCCGGTGGAGTTGCAGCTGTTCTCACCTGGAAGCCGCGACAGAGAGAGAGAGTGTGGTCAGGTCTCCTCGGAAACGGTCGTTACGGGTAATAGAAGCGGTAATGGTGATCGATTTATCCGGAGTCGCAGCTATTACCCCCATTATGCGCGCATAATAGTAGCTATTAGAAGTGCTGCAACGCGTGGCCGCGCGGAATCGCGTGCTCACGTGTGCGTGCGTGCGTGCGTGCATGAGAAACGCATGTATGGGTGGACTTGATCGCGCGCTTTAAAGCGCTCGCGCTGTTCGCGCCTAGATTTCTTTCCTTTCTTTCTTTTTTTTTCTTGCGTTTTGTGATCGAGCAAGCGCGAAATACGACGCGTTACGCTTCGTTGAATGTAAAAGAGACAACGAGGATTAATTAAAGTATTTGACGTTTAATGTATGCGATGCTTAAGGGGAACGGAAGGACGCCAGTTATGGTTCGACGGGTGGATTACTTTTCTCGGCGAGAGCATATATACAGTATCGGTTGTCATATTTCCTTTATATGTGAGGATACAATGTAATCTCACAGTGAGCTTGCAAAAATAAAATGTGAATCAGCACTAACAGCACGATACACCATTATGGAAGTTAATAAACGTTCTTCCCATATGATTTCTCCGGATAACGAAGCGAATGAACTAAATTGCTATTTTTTTCTTTCGTCAGTAATTTGAAATAAATAAAAGATACTTCTTTCTTTATGATATTAAAGTGGAAGATTGGATATTGGTTATTGAGAATAAAGCTGCTAGAAAATTATTTATATTTTGAAAAATATGAAACACAATAAAATGTTTTATAAACGGAAGTAATAGCGCGGGTAAAATGTATTTTTCTCTAATAAATTAATAATAATTTTTGACATCAAATCAAGCTCCTGAAATATTTTTTAAAACAGATTTGTTACAAAATATGAGTTTCTGTCTCTCATAAGAAAAATTTAATAAGAAAAATTATATATGTGCAATATATGAAAAAATAATGAAAATATGTATGTTTGTATAAAGTATATTGATATTTAACATGACTGATATAAAATAATTTATTTAAATGATTTGTTAAAACTCTATATTTCTGGATATAAAAATAGGTCAGGATAAGTTTGTGTATTTACGATTAAGGCATAAAACGAGTAGAGTATACGTAATTCAAGTCGGAAACGTTCTCATTTTTAAGGTGCTCGAAGGATGTTCTGAAATCTAATCGTTCACGAGAAGAACACGAGCATCGCCGTAAGTGCGCGTTCGCACGCACCCTTTTTATACCCAGTGACACTTTGTATTTGTGTAACTAGGCTCTATCGTTTCGTCGCCGCTTATCAGGCGCTTCATTAAGGTGACGGGCCACATCGCCGCGTCGTTATCATCGTTAACGAAAGGATCAAGCGAAAGCGACGGGGATTTATTTACGCTGCTGAACAATCACGCGATCATTTTCATTGCAAATAACGACGACGCATTCCATCGTATTTGTGTATTTAGAAACGTATGGCCACGGCATTCGTGCCCCGGTATTCCGGTCGAGGTCTAATCGATTTAAGCGCGGAATTAATTGTCCGACCGACTACGATATGCCGTGCTGGGCGCGCACTGTGCTTAATTGTTTCACTGTCAAAGCGCAGGTGCATTGTAATGAGATTTGCATTGGCGATGACAGCGCTGGCGATGACATCGTGTTTGCCCGTAGTCTTGGAAAGTATAAGTTTCTTTGATACATGATATCGCATATTTCTATTTAATTTAAAACAACTGTACCGTAAAAAATACCGTAAAAAACTTCAAAAACAAATTGTGAATATTTGGCAGTAGATTTTATATTTATCTAGTGATTTATAGTTATTTAGTGAAAATGTATTATACCGGGGACATTTGATTTACATTATTAACTCTAAAATCCATATCCACTTTTAAACAAAAAATCTGATTTCGCGTCATTTCTTCGAGCAATTGCTTGATATTCATTGTCAGTTTTAAATTTAATTTTTATTTCAATTTTATCTCAAAAAAATTTTTCTCTCAAAAACAAATGTTGCTCACGTACATTACACGATTTGGAAAGTCCGCTACTTCGGGTAAAAATCCTACTACTGTGTCTTACCGTGCACTTTTACTTTACTTTCGTATAAATTACAATTTTCTTCGTAAATTACACGATCGTCGCATTTCCAGACCGTGCAATTTCGCGGATTAAATCATTAAGTGAGTAATCACTGGGTAATTTTCGAGCAGTTTGCGTCGCTGTGAGAGAACTTAAGGCGCGTCAACACGCGGCACTTCCACCGAGCTATTACGCTATCTCTTTCCTTGCAAATTACACCTTTCGTTGAGGTTGATGATTGCTCGCGTCTGAACGACCAATCAGAATTCACATTATTTTCATTTTTGAGGTAATATCGTTCGAAAGGCGGAATTACTCCACGATTTCCTTGTATATTAGGTTGCTAAATAAATATTAATTATACGAGAGATTTTTTAATTGGCATTAAAAATACATTATTTTAATTTTGCAAAATTGATCCGAATGTTATCTGTATATTAAGGATTTGCATAATACGTAAGTTACACAAATGTTGCGACAAATTTTATGATAGTTTTGGATAAAAATTGAGTGAGTAATTAAATGACAAATAAAAATACATTTTAATCTGTCGTTTCACAGTCCTGTCTTGGCTCTGCTAAGATTAATACGACTGCACGCTATTACACAATGCGGAACGCGTTGCGCTCGCTGGGCGAACTATTACGCGATCATTTTCCCTGCAAATTACATCCATCCCGGGTGCTGCGGTTACTCGTCGACGAACGCCCGATCAAACCTCGCATTATTCCCGTCCCCGAGTGTAATATCGTCCAAGAAACCGAACGGCACCACCGACGAAGAGATTGATCCTGCGGGACCGCGGCAGCAAATAGGTATTTTCCACCGTGCGCCCCTCCTTCCGCTAACCCCTCCTTTCGTCCTTCGCGTCCGCTCCCGTCGTAAATCCTAACTTCAGCCCGATCCGTCCTGTAGACGTAGCGATCAAGGGAAGTTTCTCTTTTGGGCAGCACCCCCTCCAGAGATCCCCTCCCCCCGACATATATATATATATATATATATATATACACATACATATATATGCGGATATACATATATCCAGGTACTCTCTCATTAACTGCATAATTAGTCTTCTCTCGCGTCGCAGCGCAGCGCGTTAGATCGAATTGTGGGGGGGTAATCGAGTGGCTCGATGGCGGCGTTCCGCGCGCACTCGCGCGAGCGTGCGCAGCTGCCTAGCACGGCACGCATCCTACGATCACGCGCACGCATCCAACACGCGCGCGCGGCGCTTACGCATCCCCGACGTATAGCTTCCTCGCGAGAAGCTTTGCCCGGCACTAACCAACAACCTAATAACCTTGCCTTGGCTGGCGATTGACGCGCGCTTGTACCGGCTAATTATCAACAACAATCAATAATGGTCCTCTCCCTCCCACCCTCGGGAGTGCCGACGCTACCGTCCCGCCGCACTGCCCCCTTATCGCATTTTCCGCCTCTTCTTCGGCATCAGTCTCCTTCCAATCCTTTCCGTCCCCTTCGTCATCCTCCCACGCTATCTCCTTCGACATGTATCCGCTTTGGTGATTACTCTGTTTTAGTTTGATCTCCTTTCTTTCCTCAAGGACAGGTTTATATGGAACTAATCAATTATAAACCAGCTATTAAACGGCTGCGAGATAATTTTATGTAGAAATATTTGTCAGTTTTTTGAAAGGAATTTTGCTTAGAAACTCAGAAACAACATCTACTATTTTTTATATTTTTACATGATTAATGCATTCTATATTTTTATATATGGAAACATTTAGATGCTTCGTTTAAAGTATAAATACACTTACAGTATACACGAAAATGGAAGCAGTTTCCTAAATCTGAATTGATACGTTATTTAATGTAATTAAAACTGTTTCGTATCAGAAAACGCACAGTAACTCGATATATAGGTATGTGTAAGAAACTTAACAATGTTATCGTTACTTTAAACTTCTCGGTAAATTTTAATTATCCAATCGTGAGATTGCAAGACAGAAATTGCGAATGTTTGTAGATTCGTGGCGGTTGAAGGTTATTAACTAATTTAATTCAGCTTTCCGAAAGACGTGCAGCCATGCGTGCATGCTAAAAGTTTATTCGTGCATCATGCTCCGTGAAGTTTAACCGCCACCCGATAGAAGTTGGAAATTTACACCTGGAAGTTGCGTGTCGTCATTCTCACTCTTAGGCATTAGTTCCAATATATAAAAACGTCTGAAAAAATTGAAATAGATTGCATGAAGTAAATTTGCATTTTACACATCTATTGATTTGGGCATACATGTGTACTGTACACCGTAATATAAATACATATAGCGCGAATTAGAGATGCCATCGATTCTCCATAATTTTTTAATATCTGCAAATAAATGACTGACACATTACGCGAGACGTAGCCAGCCGAGCAATTTTATCTCAATTATTTATCCGTCCATATCGAAAAATTACAAGGGGGCGGGGAATAAGTATGAAATATCCCACGCTCACATATGTTGTTTGCGCGCGACGATTGCTCCGTATGGATATTCACAGAAGCGGATTTCTGTGATGCGGGGGGGGGGGGGGGCGTATACACGTCTGACTCGAATAACTGGATGCCTCGTGTGTATGTGCGCGGATACGTCTGCGCAATAATTGGTTTCGGTCGGGACAGAGTAACCATCGTGATTAAATCCTACGAGGCAGCTGCAGGGTGGCGGAGCGCCGTCGCTCTTACTACTTGCCGCCCTGTTATATCGAGGAATACATCCCCGATATAACGAGAACGACCTGCATTTTCGTGGATTAAACGCGACACTATGCCCGGAAAGCGAAAGTTTATGACATTATCCGAGAGCCGAGATCAGAATTGGCTGGAGGCGGTTGAGAATCAAAGAGCGTTGACCACTTTCCGCGCGTTACGAAGATTTACGAGAAATTTGTATT